TCCGATCTCCCCAAAACCCCAAAACCCCAAAACCCCGCAAGATAGTATATTTATATGGAGTATGCAATAATTTATATATTTAAGCATAAAAATCTAAAAATAGCATAATAGCTTTACGGCAAAAATACAATTAGCAAAGTTAAAAGTAAATAGCAAAAAAGGTTATATTCTTAAATTCAGATGATTCTAGATATTCCAGCATTATTTGGAGGAGGTTAATTCCTTAAATCTTGCGTTCCACCCATTGACTGCCTAAGAGAATTAGAGACACTATTTAATGCTGTATTTATCTTCCATTTGCTTTTGCTCTTAAAGGCTTCACTCAGATCAATTGTTTATGTTCTTATTTGCATGCTACTTCTAAGCGAGTTAGTTTATGAATGCTGTGATGCAAAGTAATTAGAATCAGCAGTTGTTGATTAACAGTTGTTATACTAGCTCTGATTAGAGGTATATGGGTTATTTCTAGTTGCTGTTGTCTTATAAGTATTTTAAGATAGTTAAGGAGCAGGAACATACTGTGATTAAGGGAATACTTGCTAAATTGCTGTTACGAGAGGTTTAGATTTTATCTGAGGTTTGTTGGTTACAGTAGATGAATTCAATTGATATTGATAACCTGCTGGGTTTAATTACTATTTCCTATTAATTGCTTATGTTTAATAGATGGATGATTTCATTGGGGTTATATTAAGGTTAGACTAAATTTGCTATGGTGGCTTTTATGCTTGCTAATTCTTTTGGGCTTATGGTATTTAAGTAGTTTTAATCATTTAAGGAGTCTTGTTCAAAGATTTTTATCTGTTTTAGATTTATGGATTCTTAGTTCTATAAGGAGTTAGCTTATTGTAATTCTACCCCGTGCTAATTATTTCATTTTTCCTTTTCTCTAACAAATCTGCAGTAACTTTCATAATGCTAGCTAGTGATCCATTATTCAGACTATTTTCTACTTTTTTATGCATTGGATTTATTTAAATGTTGACTATCTTTACCTCATTATTCTATTGCATTTACTGCTTTTGCTAGCATAATAGCTATTATTATTAAGGCATTGTACTCAAACTAATATCTGATAAATGAGAAAAAGGTTTGATATTAATCTAAGGCATAATCCTATTTTTGCTATTAATAGCTGAATATATATTGGCTGATTTGCTCTCATTTATTAATTAAGAATGCTGCTACTGGAATTGCCTTTTATTCTAAGTATTAGGAGAATGACTAACAAAACTTTATTACTTAGAAAAAACAGACAATGGAGTTTTCAAAGTCTCATCTTCTTATTAAAATTCTTTATAAAAGTTAAGGATTTCTTGCTGCTGCTAAGCATTGATGAATGATTCATCTTCTTAGAAATTAGTATAGGTGTTATCCTAATCATCATCCTGTAATTAACCGTTTAAATGTAGTTGTTTTTAGGGATTAGTAATATTTAACTCATCAAGCTATTGAAAAGTCTAATTATTTTGCAGATTTTTCCTCTCTTACTCATGATTAACTACTTTCATAAGCTTTATGTTAAAAGTAGTCTTGATCTGCTCTTTTAATGGAGACTATTGCTCCAACTATTGATTTAAATGATTATTACTTTACTACAGGCTATGCTATTTCTAGTCAATCTTTATTTTCTATTCTGATTTCTAAAGCTCCTATTGATTTTGCTATGATTAATTTTATACTTTGATTTTGTTCTCAATATGAGAATGCTTTATTAAACTTTTTATTGCTTCAGCTGGGTTTAAATCCTCTTAAAATACCTTCTTGTTTTTTATCTATTTTTGAGGACTGATCATTGAGCCTTTTTCAGATACTTTGTTACTCTTAAAGCTTTATTTAATGCTATTTTTATCTGCTTTTTTTGGTGAAGGCAGAGGCTATTTTACTTCTTACTTTTTAGAATATAAATCTCTTTGCATTTTTGTTATCATTTCTTTATATTCTTTTATCATCCTCTCAGTCTCTAAGATTTTATTCAGCTCTTAATTCAACTTTGAAGGCGACATTATTTTTTATTTTTTCCCTAGTAATTCTATCATATCTTAATCTTCTATAAGATCCTAATGATGATGGCTATTTTATGAATGTCTAGAATGCTTTTCGTGTCTACTACTCTAACTCCTTTCTACTTTATTATGATCTCTAGTTTTATAAAGACTTTCCTTGTAGACTTTGCTTTTACATTAGCTATGATCATGATTCTGGTTGTTTGATTAATGACTATTATGCTAGTGTTTCCTTAATTCTTAATTATGCTCTTTTAATTAATTATGATGATGTTGATGATGATGTGAGCACTTATGCTTTTTGCTTTAAATGAAAAATTTCTCTTTGTCTATCATAGCCCTAGGGGAATAATCACCATTTTAAGATGAATGACGAGATGATTATGCCTTCTTTTATCGGCAGCCTTTGCAACTTTTTTTATTTTCAATTTTTGCTCTAGTATTTTCGTATATAATGTCATATTATGAAGAATTTGATTGATGGTTCTTAATTTTGGTATCTTGAGGAGTGACAGATCCTCTATGAGCCATAAATCCAAAAATATTCTCGCCATACTGATGGTTGATTTCTTTTAGTTCATTTAGAGGACTTTACTATTAATATAAACTTTTCATGCATCTCTCTCTTTTCTGATGTTATGGATCTATCATGATTTTTAAGCCAAGATTTTATATTGATGATCTGTGGCTTTGAGATTTACTTAGCATATTGGTTTCTTAATCATTTTCCTTCGTTGGATAGCATTTAATGTTTTTATGATTTAGTTCCTAATTGAGTTCAAAGTTTTAAGTTTTCATACAAGTGCTATTGCTCTAGGGCTAGAGTGATTGCCTCAATTCATCTTATCTCTTATTAATCTTTAGAATTTTATACATTTAAGGGTATTCTAAAGTGCTTAGTTTCCTTTCAGAGATTTGCTGATTCTACTTACTTTAGCTACAATGTTTTATACTATTTTTATTGATAGATTTATCTTTTATCCTTTATGTAGATTCAATTGAGATTCTTCTGCTATCATTCATTTACCTACTAAAATCTTGAAGTTCTTTACTTAGGAGTTGTTTATTATGATGATCAGTAAACTATGCTTTATGCCTTCCACTTTCTGGTCTACTAAACATTTGATTTTTTGGCTTTTATGCCAGATTATTCTAATAAATTTGGTGATTTTTCTTGCTTGTTACCTATTTATCAGGACTGTATTTATTTGAACTTGACTAATTAAGATCCTGCTTGTGGAGCACGAATGGATGATTGATATCTTTATAATCTGGTGAACTTATATTATCTGTTTGCAATGTAGCACTCATTTCGCTTATTAATTAATCATTAACTTTCTAAGCACTCATTAAAGTTGACTACTCCTTATAGCTCTCTTAATAGAAATCATTTTCATTCATAATTTTCTTTTTTGTGTTCTAATTCAGAGATTGCTACTTGCTATTCTGTTTATAATTGTGAAATTGTGAGGGCATCAATTCTTTTTAAGTGGTAATATCAGATACTTTAACAGAAAATTTTCTTGGTGAAATAATGGAGTTTTGATCTTTACTTTTGTTTTAACTTCGCTTTTGAGAGATTTCTTGTAATTCCTTTTTGAGTCTAAGATATTCTTCTTTCAATTATTCCCTTTTTGGATTACGAGGTTCTCTCTTTCGCTTTCTATTTTGGTAATAATCTACCTCCTTTAACTCCATTTTATAATCCATTTACTACTATTAGAACTCAACTCCAAATGACAATCTATCCATGATTAAATTCTCTTTGATACTATTTTATAAAATATTGCTTGATGCAAGTAGATTCTATTGATAAGTGGTACTTTCTTCGATAGAATTAAGGTCTTCTTAATCACCAATATACTTCTAACTAGGTTTTTAATTTTACCTGAAGTTATCCTAGATATTTCGTGGTGAGGCCAAATATTATCTGGTTCCATTTTTTTCGTTTTCATTAATGGGGAAATCGCTTTCCTAGCTTTTAGTCTCTTTTGTGTAAAATAAATCCTCATCACTACCCTCCATCATCTTTTTTGTTATGTCATCATGAAAATTCCTTGACGCACTACCATTTTGATTATAAGAGCTATTATACTGGAAAACAGTCTTTGATTACTCGGAACTATTGTTATCGTAATATTAATTAGAAACTTTTTCTCTTTGTAGGATTTTATTCTCAATTGCATCATGGATACTCTCTAATTTCTAAATTAACCCTATGTCTCTAAAGCTACAATCCTTGATGATTACTTCTGACTTGTGAGAGTTGAATGTCTAGTTGCTGCTTATTTGCTTAATTTCCGGCTAGTTTAACAACATTAATAAAATTTATTTATAATTTGTATTTTAACATATTAATTTTCAAACGTCCATATTTGTCTATCTCTTAAATTATTCATGAAATTATTACCTAAAGGGGTTTTGGGGTTTTGGGGTTTTGGGGAGATCGGAAGA